GTGTATTTATTTATTATTTCTGTAGAGGTTGCAACACTAATGCAACAGTCATAGTCGAATTACTTATTGTTCCTGTCTGAACATGCGTTTTTCTTTTTTCGTGCGATAATTAAAAGTGTTTTTCGTACAGTTAGAATTCGTATTGATATTTCTGAATTCCCTTCTGACGAGTGTTCTTCACAATCTGAGATCCACGGTAAGAAAACAATAAACTTTATTTCACATCTGCAATAAATATGTCGCATTGACATTTGAAAACGTGACATGTTTATCTCAATGCTCTGATAATACTTTGTTTATAACGTAATTTTTCATTTAATTCGAACTTATTTTCAGACTAAATACAATTACTTCGAATAGAAAATTTCCTCAAGATCTAACAAATAAAACAATTTGAAACCATTTCTGATTTATCGTCTGAGGATTTAACAAATAATCTTACAATAGAAAGTGCTTAGAAAACTGTTTTCTACTATAAACAGTCCTGTTGTATTCTTAGAGTTCGGCTGCTTTCTACAACAGTAATGTTAATGAATACAATAAGATTTTCCGCTGCTAGCACTCTTATGAATAAGTGGAAAATGATGCCGAAACTTGTAAGCAAGCTAAAAAAAATTGAATTCTCGTATGATAATGCAAGAATATTAGCATCTCTATGGATAAACAATAAGAAGGTCATATTATTTAGGAATTGATAAAATTTAGAAAGTACAGTACATCTGTGAGTAAGAGTCAAAAAGCTGCTAAAAGTTTACCTAGCCTGTGTCCAAAGGCAATTGCATTATTAATGATCGTATGATGGGAGTGGGTTTTTCTGACTAATATGTCAGTGTCTATAAGTTCGATTTTAAGATCAAAATTTGTGGAAAAAAGGTACTTTTTAAACTGCTTACGATAGCAGTATTAAACGCATGGATCCTCTACAAATATGTTCTTGTTGAGATATCTCGTCTTTTTGGCATAAATTATAATGGCTGCAGCAAAAGTTAAAAGTATGAAATGATCTGGGCAGCCTCCTTAAATAAGGAAAACAATGGGCAACATAGGAGATCACTTTCAGTTGAAGGAAACACCAGAAGGCTAGACGTTTAGAACAGAATATTGAAAAACAACAGCTGCATTGTGTACAATGTGTAATAAACCTTTGTATATGTTCTGAACCATATTATTCACAAGTCTTGTTATTATCTTAAATAAATTAATTTGAATTCATTTGTTACTCATCATTCGTTTCACTATATAACTCTTGTTTTCAGAACTACTGGGATTTACAGGAAAACGCCAGTGGAACAAAGGACCAGGAAGTAGAATTTTGCAAAAATTTCAACGGATTTATTTTATTTACACGTATCATTTTTTATAAATAAAAACAGCTTTAGAACGCAAAAAAAACGGTAGCAAAAGGGTTAAGCAATAGCTTCTCTGTCACAATATGATAATTTTGTAGTATATATTTTCATATACAATATCAATATTTTCTAGTTATTTACATTTTAATCTTTTATTCGTTGCTATGTTTATTTTGAAATAAAAATCTGTACTGACAATTTACCTCATTTAATTGGAAAGTGGGAAGAAAATGACATAAGAATTAAATTTACGTGGTTTATTTTAGTTTAAAGAATGAATGGAATAGCAACGAATATCCAGTTTTATTCCCCGATTGTTATTCTGTCGAGCAATCGGGGTCAGTTTCTGGAAATCAAAAAACTACCACAAAATGGGTGTCGCCTTGACGTGGCTTTGTGGCTTAACGTGTGAAAATTTTATCGAAGTTCTAAAGATAATCTTTTCCACGGACTAAGAACACCCGACAGAAATTTCAAATGTTTTATGTACAATATTTTTGAAGTAGTTGTTTTGTCAATTACACTGAAACACATAGCAATAAATGTGTTGACACTATTGCTTTAGTTAGGTAAAAACAGAAACATAAAATGTATCGTTGTAATTTGAGAAAGATAACTGATAATGGTGGTATAAATAAGTAAACATTTACCATTAAGTGGAGAGTAACCGAGGCTGCTGAGAATGCTGTATGTTCAATTTTACAGTAGAAATTTATACAAATAAACATTGCTTTCCAGTGCCATTATAGCTAATAAAAATGAATGAACAGTGACGCACGAATATGCAAATTCTGGGTTCGTTTGATAACTTGGGAACGTACATATTTACATTTAAACACTGTGGCCAGTAGTATTGACAGGTGTAACTGAAGTGAGAGGAATACAAGAGGACGCTGATCCCAACTATATTTTTCGAACTTTTACCGTTATGTTGAATACCAGATATAAAGCATTATATATCTAAAAATTGTAAACATGGAAAAGCTAATTTATTCAAAATTATTTTACCTAATACTAAGAATTTCCTTTTATTATTAAGAAAGGAAGAGCTATGTAGCAATTAGTTTACACGGAGTGATTCTTAGCCTTAGTAAATAAACTTATTTATTATCATTATAGTACAGGTTTTCACTCGAGCGGCAATATTATTTTGTGCATAAATTAAGAATTCATTTTGAATAATAATATATTCATAAGTCTGTAGACCAGCGTTTCTCAAAGTGGGCGATAACGCCCCCTTGTGGGCGCTGGAGGCTTTCAGGGGGGCAGTAGAAGGCTCAAAGAGAATTGGGGAGCGTTAAGGAAATATAGAGGGGCGATGGCAGANACTGATTTAATATTAATCCGTAGAAATACTTTATAACTAATACTTTTAATAATATTTGTATGTAACCACAGCTAATTCCATCACAAATAATACACGTGGTTCTCATTCTAACACGTGGTTCTATCGGACACGAGGAATGACGTCACAAAAGGACCTTGTTTGTTCAACTGGTTAGAAGGGGATGTTTGTCCGTTAATGCAGGTAGGCTATATTACGTATTAAAGCAACTATTTATTTGTATGGAAACATCTAGAGTAGCATACAGGTGAAGTGCCTATAGAACTTTACATATTTATGTTGATAATAGCTTATCTTAATACTGTACATGTGGGTTTGTTCTTTTACGTCGTCTTCTGCCATTAACATCATAATTCTTTTGTAAATTTCTAGAGTAGGAGACACGACCGTAATTAAAGTCAAAAATAATTATTTAGTGTTATTAAACAGCCTGAAAATATTTTTAAATAGTTTAATTTCTTTATTTACCTTCGCTTCGTCGTTCTTAAATGTTTCCGCCATTTTTTCAACGATATCCCATGAATCAGTTCGCGACGTGAATTGTGAGTGGAGCAACGTGTTTCGCTTGCAGTTCAAACGTGCACATGTGCTTGCAGTACAATATTAAAGTTCGAACTTCGGCCTCAATCTCTTTATTAATGAATAGACATAGACATATCGAGATGTAATTTGATACGCTGAATCGATTGGTATTAAAAAAATTAAGAACGACTTTATTAAGAACTGCACAAACACTCATCTATATTAACAAAACGATTATTACAGTACTTTAATTCACCATAATACAAGAAAAAGCGACATTAAAAATGCTAAAATGGTGTGGTTAGGGCGCGAACACGGAAACTTTTTTTGACAGGTGGGAAGGTGTCGACCGTGACGTCACTTCCAGAATTCCCTACATTTGTGCAGTAACAGAAATGGTTGATAGGGAAATATAATTTATTATATATAATTTAAAACAAAAGTAAACATTTACTGACAAATTTAGTTTTCCCCACTACATTGTAACAACATTGTCACGTGACGTACACTTTTAATTTGGGGCGGCCAGTGGCGTGTCATCCTATGGGCAAAAGGGGCAATTGCCTGGAGCCTTCGCCAACAGGGGGCCCAAACTAATGTTTTATAAGAAAATAGTTTTCAAAAAACTTCTCCGAAGAAAAATATCTGAAGTCAACACCATACTGGAGTCCCCTAATTTAAATATACATTGGTCCACCAAGCTATATCCTACTGCCGGGTCCCTCGGAGTGGTAGACTGCCACATTTTAAAGGCTCGGTCATTGAGTAAATACTCGACGACCGAGCCTTTAAAATATTTGCTTGTGGATTTGGTTGTGAGTATTTGCTTGTGGATTAATGCTTATATGCAATCCTGTAAAGAATGATATTTAATAAGATACATCAATATTGTATACATACATAATGGGGCGTTTACAGTTTAGATCTCGTCACTGGTAGCACTAGTGTTAGCTTGATGTATAATTAATGATTTCTGAATTAGGAAAGAAATTAAAATAATTAGGGACTAAGACATGCTCATCATCAGTTGGGGGTCTGATGGGTCTGTAAACTCCTTTTTCTGCCGTTTAACGTTAAGCAGGATGCACACATGCGGCGCGGCAAGGAAAAGCGGTGACACAAACGCATCTTCGCCGCGCGGCAGCACAACCACACAAGCGGCAATCCGCTTACATTTCGGCGCATGCGTTCAGTATTCAAGATGGCGAACGATATCCACGTGTTTACACACTGTCCCTATCCACGTGTTTACAAATTTTGTTTTGTATGACTCGCTTTATTTAGCTAAAAGATTTTGTCGAAGATTTGAATTAGAGATACTTTTTTGGATCGAGAAAGAACTGGTGTACAAAATAGACTTATTCGTGGATCAAGATCTCTCGATAAAGAATACTATTTCGAGTAAGATTCGGTTGTTTTGTTCTTTGAATTAAATTATATATGATTATTTGTGTAGAATTTGTTTTAAATTTGTTATCCTTTCCTCTTTATTCTGATTTTA